AAAGAGTGTGTTTGAACTGGTGTGTATGCGGAAAGCAAAAGAAGTAATTGACGGCAAAGTTGCCAGTTGTTTGGATGAAGTTCCAGATTCAATTAACATCGTTGTTCTGGAATTTTGAACTGCTTCTAGCTTCAGAAAGTTCGCGTTTATAGAAGTTTATCGCGTGTGATTGTATTAGTAAATGGTTTTTCAGATGGTGCCATCAAACAATTGAAAATAGTCATTTGCGTAAGTTGCTGCCCGGGCCAGTAACGCTAGTATTTGAACGTTCCTCACAGCTTCCGAAAGTGTTCAATCCGGATTATACGACAGTTGGTGTGCGGATTCCCGATCACGATTTTGTTCGTTCACTTATGACTCGGTTGGATGATGTCCCGCTTGCACAGACCAGTGCTAACATATCTAGCGTCCCGAAAAGCCCACTCTCCATTGAGGTTACTGAACTTTTCAAGTACTATTGTTGGATTTCTTTTCTCAGTGATTCTCTTAATTTGACTGTCATGTTTTCACTTTTCATGCTGTTTGTCTCATTAAGAAAAATTTCATGGTTTGTCATATAAAAACAGTAGATTTTTTTTGGGGTATTTTTCAACGCTGACTGGTTTATTGTAGTTGCCAGACGGCGCTTTATTGGAACTGTCGTTGATTTGATTCTTTCACTGAAAAAACCATTTCCTTACCGATTCCTGATTTATTTTGTTGGAGCCTGTATGTAGAAGGGTGAGAGGCGGAGGAAAAGGCGAGTGGGAAGTCAAAGTCACCTACAGCTTTCATCTAGGGAAATGTCAGAAAAAGATGATAGTTGGCTGCTTTGTCAGCAGTTGTTTTCCATTGGCAGGATGCTATAATTTGGGCTTATTCTGTATATTTTTACCTTTCTTAAAGAGTACAGTATGGGCAAAAGAGGAGCAGAGTTGATTTTTGGTGATGCTTTAAGAAATCCATCATAGAGTTTTTGCAGGATTTTAAAGATTTATGGCCAGAATTGGATTTGATCATCGATGATGGCTTTATAACGCATTCAGATGGAAGTGTATACCACGAAGGTAGCACGATAGTGAATCTCAGCATTTCTGGCGTGTACAGCATAATACGAGATGGATGGTATGTTTTTGTACGTTTTTTGCTGTAACAGTTGCAAAAAACGCATATTTTCAAAACCCTATATATGTGTATGTCTGTGTGTATTTGTGGTGTATGTGTTCCGAGTACATTTTATCCGGCGTTTTTAACTTGAAAACCGGAGAAACTAGGAAGCTGAGTTTTTGAGGAGGGGCTGCATACCCACATGTGATCTCACAAACTCAAATCCATCGTTCGCACTCGCGTAGGCCTCACGTACGGGCACGTGAAATTTTTGGCGCCTAAATTAACTCGACAAGCACAGGGGACAGGAAGCTGAAATTTTAAGAGAATGTTCCTTGCCAGCAGTTGACTTCATGAAATTAAATTCAGCCCTCACTTGTGTCTGGGTCTCACGTACGAGCATGTGAAAGTTTTGGCGCAAAAGTTGTTAATTCGGGAACCAGGAAAGCTAGGAAACTGAATTTTGAGTAGAATGTCCTTCCCCGCATGTAGCCATGTACATTTAAATTCAGCGCCCGGCGTGTCTAGATCTCACGTAGGGACACGTGAACTTTTTGAATGCCAAAATTAACAATTCGGAGATCATGGAAGCTAGGAAGCTGAAATTTCAGAATAATGTTCCTTACCCGCTTGAAAATTCATTCACGCGCGCGCCTAAGCCTCATTTACAGACAAGTTTTGGCGCAAAAATTAATAGATCAGGGACGACAAACAGTAAAATTTTGGCAGTAAGGTTAGCATATAATATGTTAAGCAGCAATGCATCGGACGGTTTTAACAGTAGGGTTTCCTTGAATAGAGCTGTACGTGGATCAACTGGATAGGCCTGGAAAAGCGTCCGCCGGACAGAATTATACAGGCAATCGCTGGACAGGGCTACGCAGAACGCATGGTCGCACCAGCTACACAGGTGTACTGCTATATATTTACTTGTCAGTGAAAGTAGCAGACTATGTATGCCTTTGAATTTGCAAATTTTCGAACTGTTGCTCATTTTATGAGTTGTGATAAGAGGAACTATTTTGCAGTGCAAGAACTGCAACCGAAGAAAAGTTGAGAGATTGTGGACTAGTTGCTGTAACGGATGGCGAGGTTCCGAAATAGTGTATCGTTTTTTCGCAGATTCCACACTTCTCAAGAGCGTCCTGTCAATCGTATGATCTCGGTATGGAATCATCACTTCCTCTAACATCGCCCGCAAAATGATTTGAAGTTGCTTGATTAAGTAAACATGCTTCGAGTGTTCCTTTTTATACGTTTTCTAAGTTACAAAGTTAAGAACAGATATTTGTGAACATAAATGTCAGCAACTTAGTTGCAGCAAGATGGTCCTCTAAAATTACGATTTCTGGTTCTTTCGCGAGATACATGTAGTCGTTTGACATTTCCATTAGCCTGGGAATATGGTACCTCATACTGGCCATTTCTTTCAATTTCCATAATCTGCAAACGGTTTTAAAGCACAAAATTTGATTTTCGTAGAGATTCCGCATGGTTTATTTCAAATTTTGTAATCGAAGTTTCCATTTTTGCGACTTATTTTTCAATTTTTTCTACGAATTTCGTACCCGTCTCTCTGTCCTGAACAGAGCTCTTTCTTGAAAATTGTTCGGGACCGGTAGGGTATCAAACCACTCCTCTTCACATTCGGACGCAATGTATTACCATTAAATTACTCGTCCTTGTGCTCCAGGTGCAGCCTGGTAGTGCATCTGTTGTGTCTCTACCTTTCAGAGATACACCTTCCTTCTCTTTTTTTTTTGGCGGCTTCTTGGCCTGCTTTTCGCGGGTTTTCCGCGGCACCGTTTTAGAAATCTCTCCCCTCTCCTTCACCTGGCACTATTTTAGAGTGTGCTTTATCCACTAAATTTCTTTCTTACAGACGCGCATAGATATTCTACTGGTGTTTTTGGTCCATTACTGATACTTAACAATCTGCGAAAGGAGGATCATCGACAGCTTTTTCAATGGGCGGTTGCTGTTAGCACGCACTTACGATTAATCAAAAACACGCAAAAACTCACTAATTAATCTTTTAAGTGAATTTTTTTAAGTGAATTTTTAGCTTTTCCGGAATGCATTCCGTAGCATGAATAGTAAACAAAATTCTTTCTCCCTTCGCCCTTGCTATGTTTTTATGTGTGTTTTGGGCCTTCCGGAATACGTTGGGCTGAGTCCGATTTGCCTCTGCCTCTCTTAGAGAGAGTGGATGAGGAATCTTAATTCTTATCTGAAATTCAGGAAGCAATTAATTTTGCACTGAAATTCAGTGCGACATTTTCAAAAGCATTAACAAAGCGTGCTACCTGTTCGGTAAGCATACCAAAAGCGTCCTCGATACCATAATTCTCTTTCGCGGATGTTTTCAAAGCGCTTTGGAAGCCACCGAATTCACGGTATTTTTTCAGCATTTCAAATGTAATTGTGTTCGGTAGATCAGCCTGAAAATTAAATGTTTCGTGATACTTATGTTAATTGCGCGTTTCTTTTATTAATAATTAAACTTTACTTATCTTACTTTTTGAAGCAGTTCTTACAGGAGGAAAAAACAAAATTTTTGCTGTCTTCCGGTTGCTGTTGGCACATGCCACCACTCGGATTACTTTCGATGCCTTCGCTTTGCATAAAAAAATGAAATTTGAGGAGTTTTTTAATTTCCGTTTCGAATATTTAATTTGATAATTTGTTTGGAGTCCCAGAACTCGAAAGTATTGAAAAGGTACTGAAAAATTATCATGAAATGCCTCATAGTTTCTGATTTTCGTTACAAATGATCATCCCCTAAGCATCGAAAATCTCATTTCGTGTTTTTTTTCTCTTGACGCTCCTTCAGAATTCATACACATTTCGTTGCTTTAGTGTGCAGTATGCCAGTTATTAG